GGGTCATATCATACATGATATCGTACAGTGATGACGGGATTCATTGGAAATTCATCACAGACGAATATGCCAACCAAAAGGTATGAATAATGAGGTTAAGCATGTTTCTGCCTTTGCCCGTTTTTGCGAAATCTGTACATCATTAATTGCTAGCATGCCGCGAATTACTGGGCCAAGATTGTCCATTTGATCCTATGCTGTTGGAATTTGAGTGCTGTTCTGAGGCTAACGACTAGATATGAGGGGGGGGTTCGAGACTCGATTGATGATCAGTCCATCTCAAAGCGAAACGATCCTCTGTTTTTGATGTGGGTTCTCCAAGTTTCTTGCCTCCGACATGAATACTCGATTGACCAATGTCTCCTCATGGTCTATCTGTTTGACTGATAGTGACTCAGTACACAAAGTGAAGAGAATGCTTAATTTTGCTTGTTTAAAACATTCCAAAAAGACTCATCCGCATCTTTTGCAGCATTCGAAACATGAAATATGAATATCATCAATTTGTACCAGTTTCCATTGACTTTTTAATGGAGTTGTAAGTCATGCTTGTCGTTTGGCCTTGCGATACAGACATTCACGGTTCGAATCTGGCTGGCGTGCTGACTGGACGATTGGGCGAGGTTGAAAGTGCATCCAAACTGTAGATGATGACGCCTTTTTGGAAGGTATGGCAGAGCAAAATGCGCCACATAATTCAGGCCTGTCCTTCAAATGCATCGTGAATGGAGTCGCTGTCGATAGAGTACAATATCCCGTTTCCGGTGGTACCTTCGAGCAAAAGACGATTTCCGAGAACTGCCAGGCAAGACTGTGAATATACCTTGAAAAGGGTCGTTTATTCATTTGACCCTAGGGAAATGTGTAAATCATCTTAAAGGCGACATCCTTGTTGTCCTGATTTGTCGTATAACAAGTCAAAGATGCATGTCATATGGCTAAATTGTCCCTTTCTCCATGGAAAAGGAGCTGATTAGCTTTTTATTTCGTGGGTTTTTGGTAGATCCCGACACAAAGCGGGCATGGGCTAATTTTTATTGTTTACTATCCTTTTTTGGTTATTATTGCTTTTGCAGATCTTCGAGGGCAACACAGACTCATTCACGGTCAAGCACAACTATTTCGACCAGGCCATATCAGCCAGATTCATCAAGCTGCACACCTACACGTGGAATAATCACCCAAGCCTCCGTGTAGAACTGGTGGGATGTCAGCGTAAGTTGTGACAGAACATTGTTTGGCTCGGCGACCAAGATCGTAGCTGACATTTGTGGCCTTGCGGCTTGTCATTTAGCGTTGACGGGACTCGAGCTTTGAGTAGGGTTGTCCGGGTTTCAGAGATCGTCACCTCAAGTGTTTGGGGCAGCTGGCAAAAGGCAATTGTAGAGGCATTTATTGCCGAGTTGAGTCACTTTGGGAAAGCTGACTATTCGCAAGTGTGGAATTGCTAGAATTGCCTCGTTGTAGGAATGTATTGCATCTGTTGGCAAACCTAGAGAAGAGTACCTTGTTCAATGCTATATGGCGCTTTCGAGCTAAATTTTAAGAGGACTGAGTTGATATCTTCTTTAGAGATCAGATCGCCTTGAGTTGAAGAGGATCCTAAAAGGTTAAGGGATTGTGGTACAATTTAATAAGTCCTTGTCGACCAGGGCATAAACCCATTAAAGTTATTTTCACTATTTTTATTATTTTCACTATTTTTACCTTCTTCCTTCTCCGCCTAGCTTGCAAGCAGCTGATTGGCATTCCACCCTATGCCCGCTTTGCTTCGTCCAGCTCCAAAGGCCAGCGTGCACAACGCTCTTGCACACCCGAATATGGCCATTATCTGAGCAACAAGGGATGGTGCGCAAAAAGACAAGATAGTGAGTCTACACGATGTTCTGCCGTCCAGACCAGGCTGTCTGGAGCTTTTGCGGCTTCAACGCCAGAAATCTGTTGTAGTGACCTATTTATTGGCAGACGTGAATTTAAGAATTTAGCATACTTTAGTAGATTCTGGTGCATGTTCGACACTTGTGTGTGCCGAGTAAAATCAGGCTAAAAGTGGAAACACTATAAAGCAGCAATAGTAAAAAAAAATATTTCATTCAATGAATATTGTGTGAGAAAAGTGCTTGGCTTAAAGAGTTGTCAACAAATTCATTCATTCGTCCATTCCTCTTCTGATATTCATTATACTTATTGCACTTGTTCATGTTTTATAATTACATTCCAAGCGTAGTTTATACTGTGATTAAAATAGATGTTTTTAGCACCTATATGGAAATTTTTTTCCCTTGACAAACATAACTTGTTTTGACGAGGGCCACTTGATCGCTGCTAAAAACAACGAAATAAAATTTTTGATTAACCCTAAAACGAGAAAGGTTTTTTTGCAATAATGCCTAGCAAAAGGTCACTGAGAATATGCATAGCACTACTTTCTAGCT